ATTTCAGCTTTTTCCTTTTAAACAAATTTAAAGTGAAACAACACAAAACACTGCAAACCACAACACAATTAAATATAAATGAAAATATGAAAACAAAAAGAAGATGCATATTCTCTGTCATATGGAGCTGCATGAATAAACTTTCTGAATCCTTTATCATCTGCAACTGAAAATAGTTGTGTATGATTACTATACCTTTGTAATGTTGTTGTCCCTGCCTCTCTTTTTCTCTCTCTCCCTCCCGCTCTGTTCCTGTGCTACTGCCAGTGTAACTATCGCCCCTCCCCCCTCTGCTCAGTGCAAGCACAAGGCTCGCGTGCGGAGTGAAGCGGAAAAAAGGGCGAGAGAGGGCGAAAGAAGGAAAAACCCCACAGTTCCCAATAAGGAGTCAGCTCGCGTTGTTCACTTCAAAGAGTCGGCTCTAAGAGCCGTTTCGTTCACAACCGACACATCACTAGATCACACCACTGACTCCGTTTAAATCATGTGGCCACACCTCACCAGAGCTCCACTATATGTCTGTCCCTCACATGTTAAATGTTAGCCCAGATGCTTTTCTGTCTCAGAAACTGATAAAACACACAAGGTCTTTGAGACCTTTTTTCAAAAGTCTTTCTGTTCATAAGCAATACTGTATTTTTGGAGTAAACATATGAATGAAGCATCTACAGTTGTTGTCAGACGTCTTTTTCCACTCATTGTAATGTCAGAGTAATTTTGGACTTTTAATGATGTATTTGGCCTGTTCTTTTCCCTGGCTGCAATGATTGTACACTATACATCTTTAAATGTATTTTCTCTGTTCCACACATGTGCAAAGTCAAATACTTTAATATTTAAGTATGAGCCCAATGAGCTGAATGACTTCCGACCGGTGGCACTGACGTCACATCTTATGAAGACTCTAGAGCGGCTCTTCCTCAACCTCCTCCGACCACAGGTACAACATGCCCAGGACCCACTACAGTTTGCATACAAGGCGGGTGTCGGAGTGGAGGATGCCATCCT